GACACCCACCTGGCTACAACCTCCTTTTAGGTAGATGTAGAGAGCAATAAGGTCTCCCATAACCTCCTTTTCTCCAGGCTAAACACAGGTTGGCCTTTCTCAGTCTGAATGATGTGTGTGTCCTGCAGTATAAAGTTGGAATCCACACCTACATCCAAACCTTATTTATTATAACCATCTTCCATTTTTCCCCCAAGCAACATAGATAGAATATCATGACTGGCATGGAGGCTGTATAAATATATGTTAATTTGTGAACTTTAAGCCAAAATTTCTTTGGATTCTCCTTCTGCATTGCTAATTACAGCTAATTTTACATTTGTTAATTGTAGCCTGCTTTTCCCAACCTCTTTCATTTCAGCTCAAAAAGGAAACACAATAATGATGACTTTGCAGATACTCTGTGAAAAACCCAATGTTTTACTGAATCTCAGCATTACTTTCTTATGTGAATAGCAAATCTCTCTCTGTGGATACTATTCTACACAGTTGTTCTGAATATCTTGTTTGATTACACTAAAAATGAAAGTGACGTGAAATAATGAAAATCATATTTAAAGTTAACTGTGTTTTAATGTGTCACTTTGCATATTAGTAGTTTTACATATAAATGTATATATAAGTAGTTTTTCAAAAACATTGCCAAAGTTTTTCAAAAATATTGCCAAAATTCCTGATTTGGTATCAGCAAAACCACCGATACATGTACTTTGCTTTTTGTCTTGCTTTATAGCCCTTTATACAAGGCCTTTCTATAACAGTTCTGCAGTAGATTTAATTTCATAAAGGTCCTAAAGGTCATTCTTATTTTCAGTCAAATAACATCCAAGAATTTTAATGATGCTCCTGAATTAGTGTTATAATATTCAGAATTGTTATAAAATTCAACAATGTATGAAAATGTCATTGTTCGGGATGAATGAAGCAGCTCATCTGAAAATGAAAACCTGCCCAAATTTTTGCAGGTGTTCAAAAAACTTAAGGTAATTTCATTTTGACTCCCCTACCTCTACTTCTCAGGTACTTCTACAAGTTCCGGTGCCTGAAATATCATCATAATTGATTTTTCTAGACAAAGGAAGTGCTTAGAGCTAATTATCTAAACTTAAGTACAGCATTTGGTACAGTGCCATGTGGGAAATTATTAGCTAAAAGGGGAGATTAGTACAGAAACTGAAAAGTGAATAAGAATGTGAGGAGTAGGAGGAGATCAGCACTGAGGAAAGGTAGTAGGTCTTCCCAAGCATTAGTCTTGGGCCTGATATTATTTAACATTTTTTATTAATGATGATCCCATAAAAAAATAAGCATGTGCTAATGGAATTTACCAGTGGCATAAGGGAGGGAGGCACTGTCACTGCAGAGATGAATGACACTCTCATTTAGAAAGAACTGAGTGACCTTGAGAATAGGATAAATTAGATGAAATTTAGAAGGATTCGACGGCACGTTCCTGCATCTGAGTCCTGTTAACCAGGTTTCTAGTATACCTGCATGCTCATAGGTAAGAAAAGACTAAGGAAAGGAAAACACAGACCATACAAAGCAAAGTATTTTCACCAAGGTAATCAAACTCCTGTAATGGTCTATGAAGCACATGTTAGGAATCAGCCAGGACAGTGCACACTATTCACAAATGATTCACTTCAGTTTTGGGAAGCTATGGAAAAAGATGATTAGAGTGACCATGGGAAAGGAGGGGCCTGCAGTGTGAGAGGAGTTTGATGAAATGAAGGCTGAGGGAGGCCACTATAAATACAGCATGGGCTGCATAAGCTCTAGGAAGAGAAAACATATATTTAAACTGAAGGACAACATTGGCACAAGAACAAATGAGCATAAATTGGTCATGAATAAATTTAGGACAGGAATTGGAAGCAGGTTTCCAAACAACAGAATAGCAATGTTCTGCAATTGCTTTCCAGTGAGAACAGTGGAAATAACAACAAACCCCAAGCTACTTTTAAGATGGGCTTAAATGAGTTTCTGAAAGGGATTATATGATGTGTTTGGCTAAGATAGCAGAGAAGTAGGCTTGATGACCCAAGAGGTCTATGCAGTCCTATCTTTCTAAACCTGTTTTTCATGGCCAAATACTTCAGAGCACTTTTAAGTGCTTCCTTTCCTTCATGTATTTTATAGATAAATTTTGTATAGTATACTGCAGGGACTGCTAGCTGGACAAACTTAGGGAAGGCACAAAACTGTGGTGTCTAGAATATGTGGAATACTCTCTAAACAAAACAAGAGAAGTGTCCAGTGTCCTACAGGACAAGGCTTGGATGCTTAAAGAAATCACCATTTTCTGTGGAAGGCAGTGGGGACATGGTCCCAACAGGAGCAGCATCCCTTTGACCCTTTTCTCATTTCCCCTAAGCACCCAAGTCTGCTCCTCTATTTTGTAATGTGCCTTCTTGGCCCTACTGTGCAGGCGCAGCAGTACGAAATAGGATGGCTAACTTTAGATGTATAAGATTAAATGGATAAAAACTAGAGCAGTCAGTGTGAGTCTGACTGAATGCCAAGCTGCAGTGAAGATGGCTTGTTTGGGAGAAGGCAGGATTCCTCCAGCCATGGTGATGTGGTACAAAGCTGTGCTAGCATGTCATGGTTTCTCTCTTCTCAGCCTAGCAAGCACTTATGTCCTTTGGTTTGGTTTATCATGCTTGGTGCCTCAGTGCTTGGTTACTGACCTTGGTTACCACATACAGCATTTCCATTACTTCTTAAAAGCTGTCAGCATGGCCATAAAGGGATTTGTATGGAAGCCTGGGATTTGGGGTTCAGTAGCTGAAGTTTTATGTATTCCTTACCCACACTAGAAAAATTGGGTGTTTACAGCTCTTTACAGTAATAGATGCTGCTTCATCCAAATGCTGGAGTATGCAGGCTGGCTGAGGAATGTGGTGACTTCCTGATTAGGAGAGGACCTCATAGGCAAAAGTTTTATGATTTTCTTAAGTTGAAATCTGATGAATGGGGCAGTAAGATTTGCAGAACTGAATGATTCTGGCTGGTTTTTCTCTCCAGCTAACTACACATAGACTTTTTCCAAAATGAGCTATTAATACTGAGACTAGGTTAAGAAATTGGAAAGTAAGATGAAATCCTCAAGAGTACAGGTAGTTTGGAAAACAAGAAGAAATAGGCAGCAGCTTTCCAGAGTGTCGCCATCCACATTATTCACATTTGCAGTAGGCAGCAGCTACTTTATGTGCAGATAATTTAACAACTGGTTTAAAAAAACAAACAGGATGGCTGAGTCCCCAGGTTCATGTATAGGGGGTAATGAACACCTGTGTAATGAGATAGAAAAGCCATAAACTCGATGGTGGGAGTTTTCAGTCCCTCTTCAGCTGAGGTTTCTGCAGATTTTTCAATGCCAGGAAGGGATAAAGCCACTTGCCAGGGTCTCCCTGTGGGGCAAGAGGCTCTCAGTGCCCTCAAACACTGCAGCTTTGCTGTCAGTGACTTTGTGCAGTGCCCCATGAGTAAGTTTCCCTGTGACTCTTGGATGAGAAATGCCCATCCCTCAAAAGGAAGAGCTGAAACTTGTTAAAAAAAAAGACATTTTCAAGGAAAAGCTATATTGAAGGTCAAAACTTAAAGACAAGCATTGTGAAATGTTCCAAAGAAAACATTTTGATTGACTGAAACTTAAAAAGAGCAGCCATTATTTTTGGTGTTTTGTTTTTAATTTAATTTTTGTTCCTGAACTGTGTGTATCTTGAGAGCTATTTTTTCACCTATCCTTAACTTCAACCAGGACACAGCATCTGTGAACACCTGGGTACGTCTGTCCTGTCCTGCTAGCAAACTCAATTTAAAATGAATCACTCATAGGCATAACCTGTACCTATTGCTATATTTTAGTGAGTTATTGCTCACAGACACAGGTATGAGAACGTGGCTCTTTGAGGGAGTGTGGCAGCCTTGTGCCAGGGATGAATTTAGCCCTGAGCTCGCTGAAGCCCCAAGGCTGATCTGGTGACCATAACTGCAAGGAAACAGGCTCAGTTTTTCCATGGGTGGAAATATCTATGGGGGTATAAATGGACATTGACAGCTTGTTTGCAAGCAGACCCACCCATGTACATGGGAGCATTCAATTGACAAGTGTACCAGGTCTTCTGCCATAGCGAGTGAGAGAAATGTCTCTTTTAGACATGTCTCTAGATTTTGGTTGCCAGCTCATGCCCACACGCAGGTGGCAGTGGTGTCCAGGAAGATGTGAGGTGTCTCCTTGCGTGTGCCGAGGCTGCTGTCTGCCTCCAAGCACCCTGACATAAACAGTGATTAAACAGCACCAAAGCTTTTGAAAATAACCTCTCATGAGGTAAATCAGCTGGAGTGGGTGTCTGTGGGCAGTGGACTAGCCACCATGAAGTCGAAACTGTGCTCATACCCACAGCCTGAGGCAAGTAGCCTGGTGGGCAGCACCAGTGCAGCCAGCTCACTTCCTCTACTGTCTCACCTCTGGGGATCTTAAAAACAAGAGGTTAAAAAATAATCTCTGCTTTGCAGAATGTCTTTGGAGTCCTGCTTTGCTGTTTTTGTCCTGCCTTGAGTTAACACCAGAGGAGAAAAGTGCTTGGTGCAGTTGCTGATAGTGGTGCCCTGGTCCTGCCCCAAGTGGGGCAGCTGTTGGCCCCGTGGTCATCGTGCGCTTCGTGCCAACCCTGTGAGCAGAGAGCCATACGGGAGTGTGAGTGTGAAATGACACCTCTGCGGGAGAGCTGTGATGCCGGGAAGATGTTACAGCCTACCAAAAAGGAAGACAAAAGGGGCAAAGGAAAAAACACCCCCACAAAACCTGCTGTGTTCCTTCCTCACTCTTCCCTCAGTACTGTGGTGCCCTTCACCTTGCTTCAGAAGTGTGAGCACATCCTGTTTACGCCTGCCACCCAGACTGAGAGGCTGAGGGAAGCACACGGTTGAGGCACAGTTGAAGGCAGCACAGTGCACAGGGAGAGCTGCCTGTGGTGGGACACAGCCCTGGCATGGATGCGCTGCCCATCTACCACGGGGGCATCACCCGCGAGGCTGGGGAGAGGCTACTGCTGGCGACGGGCACGGATGGCAGCTACCTGCTGCGGGACAGCGAGACCATCCCGGGAGTCTACTGCCTCTGTGTGCTGTGAGTGTGGCTGTCCCTGTGCCACTGCCATCACCCCCAGGGTGTGGGCAGCAGGGCTGGGAGTGGGGTGCTGGCAAGGGCTGCTCAGGTGCTATCTGATTTCCAACCTTCACCTCCACAAAATGTGTTCTGATATTAGATTTTTCTTACATGTGTGTCTTTTGGCTCCCTCACCTTGACTTAAGGCAGAGGGTGCATAAGGGGTGTGGGATCCTTTGCAGAGCAAAGGGGAGCAAGTTTTGCCTTGCAGAGCACATACTTCCTAAGGGGAAAAAAAACCCCAGAAAGAGAAAGCAGGTCAGGAGCACATAGGAAGGATTAGTGAGGTGCCATGGAGAAGTGCTAGGCAACTTGGCTCATCATGGTGTGTACTGCCTCTTTGTGCTGGATAATCCTCTTGCTTTCTGCCTGCTGTCTTCTGCTTCTCTGGTGTGCTCATGGGTGTACTCAGCAACATCCCCAGCATTCCCTGTCCTTGGGAAGGGTAACGTGGAGCACTGTCATTCAGAATGTGTCTTTGCTTCAGGATGCTCTCAGACAGGCTGTGTGTCTCACGAGTCATCAGGAGCTCGTAATGTACATGTACCTGGAATGTATATGGAATACTGATGGGTAACAAATTGAGTGGTAATGTTTCATCAAACAGGGTGAAAAGGGAGAGTTCTGATGGGACTGTGTAGGTAGATAGGTTCCCCTGGGAGAGCTGGGGGAATTTATAGTCCTAGGACCTCTTTTTAAAGAGGAAATTTAACTACCCTACTGTTGGCAAAAGTTTTGGAAGTCCTGATACTGCTGTACCATGGCACTGGAAGAACAAAGATGTGTCTATCAAGACACTAATGCCTTACCTCAGTAGGAGAAGGAATGCAAGAGAAAACAATTTTAGGGCCAGTGTGAAATTAGCTAACAGAGGCACTTAGGTACCTGGCAAAAAAACATAAAACGGGAGAGGAAGAGTAGTTAGGTTTACCCCAAATCTCTTGAATACATTTTCCAACAATATGTAATTAGGCCCTGGGAATGCATCATTATCCCCCTGTTACAGACCAGTAAATGGAGACATGCAAGGAGGCTGTTGGCAATTCGGAAATACACAAATTGATTTTCAGGGAAAATCTTTGTGGCAGAAGATATATTTCTTCTTCCCTCATGAAATCAGAAGGTGAACCAAGATAGGTACTCCTGCTAACCAGTACCTTAACAGCGAGCTGAAAACTGGGAAATAAAGAAGCATCTTGAGTTAAATGAAAATGGAATAGACATAGCAAGAGGTAAGGAGTGCTATGATTCCTGTGATGGGAATAGGCAATAAAAGCAGAATCTCTTTTAAATAACCATCAGAGGAAATGGTGATATATCACCTTTACACTCAGAAGTCATTTGGTGCAGGTGAAACAGTAAAGCATTAGAGAAAGGGTCAGGCAGAGTGTTACAATGCTAAATAAAATAGAGAATACTAAAATTAGTCCACCATTAGTCTAAATCAGGGTGTAGGTATGTAACAAGGTCTTTGATCTGCACACAGCCAGTTGGGATTTTTTGCTATATTAGTGGTAATTTATGTCCTTCAAAAGAAATGTCATGAATGAAATAAATCATAGAAAATGAAAATAGGAAGAAATTAGGGGATTTCTAACTGTGAACCTCTGCAATCTCAAGAGGAAAAGAAAAGAGACTTCAGTAAGAAACAGAACACTACCTAATTGTTTCTGGGAATTATGTTTCATTCAAGCATATGTATGAAAAATAAAATGGTAAAAGCAAAAAGTATTAATGGTGAATGTTATGAAGGCTTCTTACACAACATAGATCCTCAGGAATTATTTTATAAGGGAAATCTGCAATAGCATCTTGGATAAGTTCACATAATTAAATGAAAAATGTTATGATGAGTATGATCTGATACAGACAGAAAAGTGGCTGAGAAATGCTAGAGCTAAGCCTTGGTTCCAAAACTTCTTAATATTTTGATTCAGAGCATTACGTAACACATAGCAGATAGGGTAAGGAACACATCACGTGATAACTTTGGAGCCAGTTATCATAAAGATATGAGGAAAGGGTCTCACACTGAAAATAGCAATGACTGTTTAAAGAAATGTGGGCTGTAAGCTAGAGAAGTGCTTTGACAGGCAAACTTTAGCAAAGCAGAGTACTTCAGTGGAGTGATTGGAGGAGCAAGTAAGGAAGGCATGAGAGATGTAGATACATATTGAAAGAAGGATGCTTTGGCAAAATAAGCCAATGGATCCAGCCCCTCCAAATCCAACATCATGGGCAGAGATGGAACAAGTTGCAAGCATTAATGTGTGTGGGAGTTTTGGCAAAACCTGAGGGAAACATGCAGTTGCTGTATTCGCTGTTTAAGAAAAAGAAAATCAAAGAAAGAGTAAGCACTTCTCTGCTTTTTTTGACACTTCCTTCTAAATAAATCACATAAATTATAAGGAATAACAAAGTCAGAAATTTACAGTTTGGTTCAGAATCTGTGCTGAAGATCACTATAGGAATATCTAAATATATCAAGATTAGGCAAAAGTTGTATTTACTAGAAGTACTGAAGTGGTCTTTGAAACATGAGATACAAAGCTGGTCAGCCATTAGATATATTGCAATAAGCATCGGAGATAAACAAAACATTTTGCACCTTTCCAATGACAATTTCTAATAGAAGTGAATCTGTTTCATACTGCCAGTGATGTTTCCATTGCCCTAAGAAAGGAAAAAGAGAAAGTCTTTTCAGACTTTGAGACAGAATATTCAGTCTGTCTTCTTTCCCTTCTCACTCCATTTCCCTGGAGAAGTAAAATAACAAAACTGAACCCCCACAGCTTCTCAGATTTAATACTTCTTAGGATTCCTTTTTATTTTTAAAAAACATGTGGGAATTAAAAGGTACAGTTCTGGTGAAGAGAAAAGAAACATTTATCAAAAAAGTCATTAAGCACATATTTGGATGACAGTAGTGTCATCAGTTTGAACTCTCGCAAGTGGCTGCTCTGTACTTTCAGCTCCAGGTACAGCAGTTGCCAAGTCCTGGGATTCCACTGCATTGCTTAGGCTCAGACAATGTCTCCTTTTCCTGAGAAACTGCATAAATTTGTAATGCCACCATCACCACCACACCCTTCCCCCTGAGTACCCTCAAAAAAGCCCTGACATATTTTGGCAGCCTTTGAGCCTCTTAAGGCACACAATAAGGACAGCAGTGCTCACGGTCAAGCTCATTCACCTTTTGCTTTTCCAATTAAAAAGTGGAGCCCTGACCTTTAAAAAGGAGAAGAGTCAAAGGCTTCATGAATCCCTTGTGACTGACACTGATTTTACAGGGCAAGCATAAAAGAGACAGGTAGTAGCATAAAACCTGACCTACAGAGATGGCTAACTGCAGCAGGCAGGACCCTGTTGGAGCATTTGTCTAGAAAACTCTGCTTTCTCTCTTTTTTGTTTCTCCTGAGCTATTGATTTATCTCCCCTGAATGCTGCTTTCTGCTGTCCAAAGTCATGGTGTGCACACGGTGTGCCTGAAAGACTTCAAAGAGAGAATGAATGTTTTTTTGGAGTCACTGTGGCAAAGCACAAAGGACACATTTTCACAACAATTTTAAGACTGCAATTAAACTATGCATGGAAGAGTAGGGAGGTTTTGATTTGCAACAGTGTCCCCAGGGCTCTTGCAAACTGAGGTGCTGCATTCAGACTTTGGCAAAGATTTTAATACCAGATGCTCCCAAGGTCTTCATTATCTGAAGATCATTATTGAATTGATAATATATACTCTAAGGATGCTGTGAATATGTCAACACAGGTACATAATCTTTTCCTGAAGATCTTTAGAGTTACATTGAAAAGTAAGATTTTTGCTGTTCCTGAAAACTGGCCTAGAAGAAATGCATATGCTTTCAAAAAACCCATCACGTTTTACCTGTAAACATGTTAGACACTACACATAGTGCACCAGGGTTTTAATATCCAAACCTGATTGTTCCAGGGAGCTTTCTTTGCTGGTCTGGTTTCCTCCTTGCTCAATGCCCCTTTTGATATTTTTAGCACCCTCAGAAAGCCTCTGTGCTCACAGCTCCTAATGAAGTCAGTGGGGGACACGGGACACACTAATGGTGCCTAGTTTGAGAAGCAGCCTCTTAAACCCTGCCTGAAAAATGCATAAATAAATTGTCTGAGCGCGCCAAAAGCCCCACATTCCTTTACAGAAATATGAGCACAAATGCAGAAACAAGCAGCTCATGCCTGAATTGGCAAAGATAAAGCATTTGTGGTTTGGGCTTTAAAATTCATATAGTTGAGAATACTGGGAATGTTAGTAGTTGTTTCAGAGCTTTAAGAAAGCCAAACATGATGTGCTTGTCAAACTGTATGTTCAGATGATTTGTTTGAAACCAGACGTTCATGTACTGTGCAGCATTCAATTTGTGGAGAATAATCAAAAGCTGGAATTGAAAGCTGTTTAGAGCTCTTGAAGCAACAGTAATGGCAACAGGGATAGGCTGCAGTCCTATCAGATTTTACGTGTGCTATTTTTTCTGTCACTGTAACCACGGTGCACAAGTTCAAGGCAACGTGCTGAAACTTTCTGATGTGGCAGATGCATCAGCTGTGCAGCACGAAGGTGTAATACAGGACCACTAGCCAGCTTCAGCTTAGCATTTCTTTTGTTTCCTATGTAATATTTTTGATGGAAATGGCAGAATAATTGCATTGCTCATAGCGCCACACCTAATAATCATCATCATTTAAAATGTAATTTGGAATAAAACCTTCTCCCTGAGGAAGAGCCCCTCAATTCAAGGTTGCTGTTGTAAATATCATACACTATTTTCAGCTTTGAAAAATGTCTTCTGTAGCACAACAGTAAATTCTACTGAGGTGAGTATTTCAGCTCCCTGCTAATCAGAGTGAGCATCATCTTTGCTGAGCCTAACTTGGTTTATGAGCATCAGATATTCCTATGGCTTTTCTTGGAAAAGTAGACAGACTGAATG